CTGGGGCCCTTCTGCACCTGTGCTGCCAAACCAAGGGGAAACTGCAGGATTGGACCGTGAATCTCCATGCTCGGAGTACTGCGTCTGCACTGGCCTCATGCGGAGCCCCGAACTGCAACAAGGTGGTCTTCAAATCAGCATGGTTGTCATGTCGGTGAAAGCCAAGGCAGCTCAGCCGAGTGCCTTCATCCACGTCAGCAACAGTCTTGCGGCCTCCGGTCTGGGAGGTGTCAGGCTGAAAGCGTTCGAGGTTGCATACGCTCTGCTGTTGTAGCAAACTTTCAGCAAGCGTATCATGTTGCAAGCACCAAACATGAAATGGCTGCGGCAGAATACCAAACGCAACTGCGTGAGACCAAAGCATGCTTCCATGTGAAAATGGACACTCGTTGGAAAAATCCTTCTTGCTCTTGCCAAAATTGAGAAGCAACGGGCAAGCTGGAGTCAACCCCCTTTAGTGCCGAGCAGCTTCAAGGCATCCGGAATCAGTGGATCGAAGCTTTGGGGAAGCCAGACGATTCGACTCTTCTTGATAAGCCAGAAGGACAACCTTTCTACTTGAGGGCCCTATCCCTCTCGGCGGAGATCCTGGAAGACCCTGACTGGCGTATCCTGACAGAGGGCCAAGACTGCTTCCTTAGCGGAGTCCCTGTGGGATTCGGCGAGCCTATCGAACATGTTCCCCAAGTTTTCAGCCTGAAGGAGCACTGGCGTAAGCTAGATGAGTCGGAGCCTGATTTCGATAGGGCAAACTATAAGAGTGCAGAGCTGAGCGCCAGCCAGCTTCTGGCCAAGTTCAGGGAGGAGGAGAAGCTGGGCAGGATGAGGCCCGCCACACTTGGTGCACTGCAGGAAGAATACAGACAAGATCCGGGTCGCATCAATGGGTGCGATTGAGAAACCAGACGGATCGGTTCGACCGGTCCATGACGGGACCCGTGGGGTCCTGGTAAACAATGGTATTCATCTTGTAAACCACGTATCGGTGCCAGGCCCAGCACAGATGGCATTCGCAGTACGTCAGGCCGGGGCACAGCGAGAGGTCCCACTGGCAGTGGCGGCAGACGTCAGCGCCGCGCACAGACTCGTTCGCATTCGTACTTGTGACCACGGCTTGTTGGCCTGCAGATCAGATACCGATTCACCCACCATTTGGGTGAATCGGGTAGGTACGTTTGGGATAAGCTCAGCGTCGTTCTGGTGGGCCAGATTATTCGGGATAGTAGGCCGCGCAATTGCCCGATGTCCCTTGCAGCACCTTTTCTATCAATTTGTTTACGTGGACGACCTCCATAGTGACTTCTATGGTCGTCGGAAGTACGTCAACTTCTTGATTTGGCTACTACTACATGAGATGATCGGCACGCCTTTTGCATATCATAAATTCCGTGGGGGGACGATCGTTGCCTTCATTGGATATGAGCTGGACTATGGGTCTTGCCTCTGGGGCTCAGTGACACGCGCGGGCGTTGGCTCATCACCTGGGTGGACCAAGCGGAGCAGTCGCGCTGGGTCGTTCAAGTCAGGAGGTTTAGCGAGTTTCTTGGACGCTTAGGGTTCGTAAGTAGGGTAGTCTATTGGATTAAGCCCCACTTAGCCCCTCTTTACGCCTGGGCCTCAGTAGCATCCAAGAGCCACGCAGCCAAGCTGCCGGATATGGTCATCCTGACTCTCATTTACCTTCGGGAGACTCTAGGGGAGCTAGACTTTAAGGTTAGTCCCTATCGGGTACCCCCCAGCGCCGAGCCTGTCTTCTACACCGATGCCAAGTGCGCAGACAACCTTGTGGTTTTGGGAGGCTGGGATTCGCCCGGTCAGACATGAACTGATTCTTAGTCTCAAGCAGCTTATTAAAAAGCTGAAGCGGAAGATCGCCCAAAATGACCTGAATTCTGAGACCTGAGTCAAAACTACCAAACTCTCCATTAGTAAGCTGATCCGCCAAGTCATTCTCTGACCGAGGCTTCCAGTTCAAGTTTACCCTGAGACAAGCGATCCTAAGGAGGTGTGACAGCTGCATGTTGATGAGCATGAGTGGCAGTTTCGTGGCGCTGCCCTTCTTGATGAGTGATTCGTTGCCACGATTATCGGTTATGGCCGGCAGCACAACGGGGATCTGACGCGGCTTGTCGCTGGGGACCAAGTGGCCGAACACCCAGAGGCCTGCAAGGGTGCCTAGTAGCTCTGCCGACGCTGACGCCCAGTGCGAACGACCCTGCTGATCAAAGAGGTATGGAGCTTCGGCCGGCGTCAACCTGCAAGAAAACCAACGTGCCTTTCCTGGCGGGGAACGAGCATCATCGCTCGCATGTGCCAGCGGCAGCGCCCGCAAAGAAGTCCAAGACACAGTGGTAACTCGTGCCACCAGCAAGCTGTAGGGGTCAGTGATGCGACACGAGTTTCGTATCTAGCTGGCTCACCGCTTGGGACGATTTCCACCATGCGAAAAAGCCTGTCCTTGCATGATTATTATTGAGACTTGAGTTGAATATATATGTTTGAGAGGAGATCCAGACATTCTGATGGATAAATTTTGATCAGTTGTTCCCTGAGTAGATTTACTTGAGAAATATTTTAGTTTGAGTTTGCCTGCAAACGCTCACTCTTTAGGGGATACTGGAAACAGACAGGCTGGGCTCAAAGGCAATCTCCCCGCGATCCAGCCTGGGGGTGCACTAGGATAGAGTGCGCTGCGAATAGCCTTGTGAGAGTTAGCGCCATCGCCATGGCGCCGAGTTCGGGCGGCGGGCTTAGGCTGGCTGCCGCGACACCCGAAAGCAGATGGAACATAAAGAAGATGCGGAAGAACCTCACATGTGATCCAGGCCTCAGCTATCCTATGTGGCTTGACAAATTTTGGAGACTCAAAAGGAGGGACTGCAACTTCAGGGGTGAAGAGCAGTCCACACACCAAGCCATCCGAGAGCATGGGGCTCTGTGGGATGGAAAAGAAGTCCAGCACACAGCTCTTGAGGGCAGGAGCGGAGTGCTGAAGCACATGCGAGGGCGGGAACCCGCCGCCCGTGGATATCTCTCCAGCAGCAGATGCAACAATGAGCAATGCATGGCACAGTCGCTCCGGGTCCGCGACACGCTGCCGTACGAAAGTCAAGGCCATGCTGTGCATCCTATTGGCAAAAGCCCGCGCTCTAATGCTGAGAGAATGCCCTCGGTCGCAAGGCCACCTAGTGGGGGAGCAAAGACCGAAACCGTCTGTGAGAGGTGTCTCCTTGCGCTCCCACTCCACCAGGAGCGGGGCACCACGATTGCCGCAGAGCTCAGGCCTGAAGGGCACGCTTGTTGGCTTATCTGGCACTTTGAGATGAACCTCGGACGTCTCATCCCCTGCCCCAGCCAACACCGGTAGCTTGAAACCTAGGCCCGACACCACAGACTTGTGTTCCGACGAAAGCCTTTCCAGGCCAGCTACCACATAAGCAACCAGGACAAGTCTCCTCCCCTCCCATGGTAGGGTGCAACGAAAACACGATTGTGCCATGCCCTTAAGCTTGCCCTTCGGTGTATCCATCTCTGAAGCGCCTCCCTCTTCCTCAACCCAGATCTGTCCTCCAGTAAAGTGGCTCACTGGGCAGACCCCATTAGGATGAGGTCCGTTGCGCGAATCCCGGTGCATGGGAGTTCGGACTCCGTCGAAAAGCGTCGTGAAAGAAATGGATGGGAACGTCTGAGCGGCAAACCTTGCCAGCAGTTTTGTGGACAGGGGATAGGCTGAGGTGTTGTGTCTGAGGCCCGTGATCCCCCCCTTCGAATAGCATCCAGTAGAGAAGGAAGTGCCTCCTGGCTGGCCTTCTTCTTGTCTAGGGGGAAGCTCTTTGGGGAGCATGTCAAACAGCTTTTCAATGTCCGCCCTCCGGCAACTTGGGAGCTCAAGCAACTGCTCTGCAAAGGATTCGGGAAGGCCGGACGCCGTTACGCCTGCCTCACCTGTGGCGGTGTCCTGCTGTCCATGCTGCGCACATTCCGTCCGAACCCTAGGGGCAATGGGACCTAAACCTGACCTAGGGTGGGAAGCAGGACCTAAACCTGAACTAGGGTGAGAAGAAGGTGGGGAGGCGTTCTGCGATGTCGGTCCAGACGGTGTCACCTTAGCCGAAACCCTAGGGGCTGAGTCTAAACCTGAACTAGGGAAAGGCGGGGGAAAAGGATGCGAAGCTGCTTGCAGCGACTGGCCCAGGCAGTTGAATGAGTGTGCTATGGCCTCTGCCAGCCACTTGCACATTGCAGATGGATAGTTAGCCGCTGGAGCAGTTTTCCAGTTGCCTGTGGACTGGTCCTTGCCAATGAGAGGTTCGTGCTTGCCCCCATGAGAACACTGTGCTGGGAGCGGACCTAGGTACGACCCGGCCTTAGAAAAGGATGGCATGCCTGTGTAAGGCGGCTTGTTGTCTTTAAAGTATGGCAGTGTCGTCAGGATTCTTGTGGGCTTGGGATAAGGTGCTTCGAACTGGCACTGGTAGAACGCAAAGCACTGTGCCTCCGTGGCCAACAAGAGGTCAAGAATCTCTGCCCACTGCCAAATGGTGCTGGCGCGATGTTGTCTGCAGCTTTGCCCAGGTCTGGATTGCCAACGGAATGTGCTAAGTACGAGGCTTGAACACTCTGCAAGATGAAATAATTAGATGACTCCACATCTTGGTAATGCTTCTCGCTCAACCAAGGAAAGCCCTTTGGCCAGCCCACGCTCCTTATAGGGGCGGTGGCCCGGGTCTGCGGCGACGTGCACGACTGAAGGTGTGACATGGAGGTGTGGTCACGAAGATTGTCCGTGGCTTCTGTACCAAGGAGAAAATCCGAGTCCAAACTTCTTCTTGAGTGAGATCATGTGTCTCGTCCCTCAAGATGTCAATCTAAATCAAGCGAATTCCAGGCATTAACGACTTAAGGTGATGAGCTATATCACAGTAACGTGAAGGCCCCGCAAAAGCATAAACCACTGTATACTCCGAAAAGAGGCTGGGCTCCGGCGGAACCTCTGACCGTCACTTCGACGGTGCCTCCTGTGGATTCTGATGCTGGAAGGCCGGATGCTCCTTGAAGCAGCCCTGCACCCTGCAAACATGCACACGTGGACACGAAGGATTGGTGCATCCCTGTGCATTGAAGGCAAAGCAGATCTGGCGACCGTCCGGCGTGGTGGACACCAGCGTGAGGCCCTTGAGCTTCCCTTTGCCCTTGCCTTTCTTCTCCGGACGTTGAAACCCTGGCGGTATGCCCGGTGGTGGCGGAACATCTGCATGTCCCCCTTTGCCTTTGCCTTTGTTCCCGCCTTTGCGGTACTTGAATGGTTGCTGGATGCTAGCGGCATGCAAGGCCAAGGGCATGGAGAAATATGTCTCTTTCAGAGAGGCATCCTGCATGACAGATTGCAGAGCGTCACACAGTCTCTGGCCGTCCTCCACCACCAACTTGAAAGCCTCAGTCCTGAGCTTAAGTTCATAACTAAGGACAACGTGCCAAGGAGGGTGCTCGTATGCCGAATCAACACCTGTAGTGGATGGGAGGCGAAGCTGGGCCACTTTATCCCCTAGGATGTAATCAGTGAACTTCACGAAATGCTCCAAAAGCAAGCCTTGCAACCATGTCTTAGCTTTGAACCGGGCTGACATCGTCAACCACGCAAAGGCTTCCACCTTGATGATGCGGCGATATGCTTCGGAATTCTTGGGCATCTCCAACTTGTTGAGGGTCTTCGTGACCCTGACGTGCCCAGTGGCGTCTAGGCTGGTCTGCAATGATTCCACTTGGCTGTCTCTCTTGGAGCTTATCCTGTCCAGCGTGCTGGCACTGGGTTCGTTTTCTTCTACCTCTTCGACCTTTGCGGCCAAATACTCCCCAGAGGGAGTCTCTCCCTCACTCAGCTTGCCATAGGTGTCGACGACAGCTTTCACCATCAGTGTGCACTGATGTGACACGGTACATGGTGGACAGCGATGCCCCTGCTTCTTGAAGAATGTACTGAAGATCGCTATCTGCTTTAGCTACCTCTGCCCTCATGGGATCGTCACTTGGGAGAGCCATGACTAAGTCTGAAGAGGTTGCTTGAGTTGGCCCTGAGCCTGAACCTGACTGAAGCGGAGCCTGTGCCCCTTTTCTGAGTCTGACTGGAGGCTGACGCGCTCCACCGACTGAAGGGGAGGCCTTGCGCGCTCCCCTGACTGACTCTGATTCGGAGGTCGGGTACTCTCCGGAGACTGAATCTGATCAGGAGGCTGCACGCGCTCCACTGAATCAAGTGATTTCTTGAAGCAAGCTTGGCTGCAGGTATGCCGAGTGAAGAGTTCACCCGCCAAGGCGATGAAGACTCCGCACTAATGGACAGTGGCTAAACTCAATCAAACAAAGCTGACAGTCAATCAAATGAGTGCAAATCAGAAATGTCAAAGCGTGCATCAAGATCTCAACTCTGAAAACATGTTGCACTGATATGTCGTCAAATCATGTCTGAAACATGCTCTTCCGGACTGAATCTTTAATCATGCTTGAGCAAACTTCAATCAGAGTCAAACTGACGATCATGATCAATCAAGCATGTGACTCATACTCAGTTGCACCTATGACATGTGATCACTCTTGATCCGGCCTTTTACGACTCCATCAGCCCGCCTAGTTCTCCGAGTCACTGGAAGAAGCGGATTCGCTGCTGCTGCCCTGACCTTCCTGCTGACCTCTATCGGCCTTGAGGCGATGCTTGCAATCCCGACAAATGGAATCAACGTCCTGCATGTCGACACGCTCCATGAACCTGACTGTGTGACAGTGGTGAGGCTTCACATGGCAAGGGCCGTTGAGATGCAACCTCCTGTGACCTGTCTTGCGGCTGACACTAATGAAGTACTTAGATGGCTGGCTCGGAACAACTTCTGGGCACTCGTCCTCATCGTCCACCTGTGTAGTCTCCAGTGGGGCCTGGAATACGGGCCAAGTCAACCCCAGGCTCTTGACTCCGCCAGCCATAACCTGAATGTCATGCCTCCTGCGTGCAAGTGACCCAGAACCCCCACGCTTATCCACGAAGTCTTTTAAGGCAAGAAGGGCCTCCTCCTCAGTATAGATGCCCCCCAAACCACAGGCCACTGCTTTGCATGCTGCGATCACTTGGCGTGCTGTCCGCGTGTACTTAGCAGCACCTGCACCCCCTATGAGCCAACGGCCTAAGAAATTCCTCTCGTCTGAACGGTATCCCAGGGCCGCGGCAACTGATGGCATCCAATTCCGGGGGCTGTGGCCTGTGAAGAATGCTGACGCATTCTCAACCATAAGCAACCTCGAAGTGTTGGCCCGAAATTTGCCTGAGTCAAGCTTGGGGGTATAGAGTTTCCTGTACACATCCCGAATGTATGTCGAAACTAGCGCAGGCTTTGCGTAATGCTTCGTAGGCGAAGAACCGTCCGAACTCCAAACAGGAACCAAGAAATCCCTCGCGGTCTCAAAGGACTTCCAGAGCTTGAAGCCTTCCTCAAGACTTAGGTAAGACTCCCTGCAAGTCGTCGATGCGCATGCTGGCAAACACAGCCACCAAAGCCACCCATGACATGGCCCTCTCGAAAGGTGTCTCATCCTTCTTGACCACATGCAGCTCTAGTGACACAATCATCGCCACACTAAGCATCGGTGCTTGGCGGGTAGGCGGAGAGGCCGCCTTCAAATCAGAGGTCAAAGGAGCTCAACTGTGAAAGCCAAGTGTTGGCATAACGCTCTGGCTCCGGAACCTTGCCTGTCTGTTCCAAAACAGCAAGCGCCGCTTGAAATGAGTCTAGCACAGTCTTGCCACAGCCCTCATTGAAGCGTTCCGTGCTGTAATCAACAAGATGCGAAAGCTTGGCTGGCCAAACTAGACCCTGCGTGCACTGCAACCACATCCTAAAATGTGACCATGCCTTGAAACGATTCCTCAAGGTCTTGCTCCTTCGCGTGCCGAAGAGCCTCTTCCACGCCGAATCAGGATCAGCTACCCCTTGTAACTGTTCTATCACTGGCAACTTGGCCTCCTTAATGAAGCCTGCCAAGAGGAGTGCATACTTCTCTCTAGCTAGTCGCTCTTCAGCCGCCCTTTGCGTAGGGTCAACATCCCCAGTCCCCACTCATTGCTTTCTTGCGCCTGGCCAGGCCTTCCAGCAGAACAAGAGGGTTGTCCCTGGTCGATTGGTCGAACGCCTGTGATAGATCCGGCCTTGACGGACAAGTCGTGAGCGTCTCTAGGGCTCCCCGGAGAATCTCACGCCGCCTCCGCTTGTCCGCACGCTCGGTCTCTTGCGACCACTGAAGCAGAGTCTTCACACGCTCGTTAACCATCAGATCCGATCCCTGGCCAGAAAAGACTCATTGTCAAAAGACGCTCTAAGCTGCTGCGCACTTCCAAAGTGCTCTCGCAAGCGTGCTATCTCTTGGCCCTGTAGGTGTGGCCAATCCATTCTACGTCCGAAGGAAACTACGCCCCTCCATGTCAAAACTAAAAGCTGAGTCCAAATGACGCGCAAGAAAACTGATTCATCAACTGACATCTCACTGAGGTTTTCAAATTTCGGAAATGACTCACATGAATGTCAAGGAAAACAAAGAACCAAATTCAACTCAGCAAAACCATTCTGAAGGATCAGAGCGTTCTGAGAACTTAGGCCCACCCGAAACACCCGCCTAAGAGGGGATACTTACAACAGTCCAACAGGGCGAGCCCAGGAGAGTCGGTTATGGAGCCTGAGCCTCCAGACCAGCAAGCTGCCAGAGTTTGTGGCAGATCTGCCTCTATGGCTGAAGACGCTAACAATGCGCCAATCGTCTGGCTTGGCTGGTGCCTTACAGAGCCGTCTTTGAGTTTTGGAGGTGCCCATGGTATGTGCCGAAAATTGGAGCCACTCAGTTGTGAACCAAACCCAGGACTGTGCGATAAGGTAGACTCTCGAGCTACGATTGCACGAGATGCCAGCACACATGTTCGAGACAGGTAAGTGAGCGGCTGTTCGTCGCTGGCCCAGACCGACCTTCCAGAATGGTAGACACAGGTGGCGGGCGCACGCAACTGTTCTGACCTGGGCTACAATTTGCTGCGCTGAACATGCGTGAGAGTAAGCACTCCGGTGGCGCATTTAACCCTGCAATGATGGCTGAATGCACGTGCGGCAAATTACAGATTCCCGGAGAAACAGCTATGCTCGGCAAGCCCAGAAACGTCTCGATGCAAGGAGTACTCACGCGCTTGCGTGCGCACGCTTGCTTGGGCTGCAGTGCTCAAGTGCATAACTTCTCAGATCGAGGTACAACTCTCAGTCATGGCGCTGGGTGCACTTGCTTGATCGGCTGTGCCTGCTCGTCAAAGAGCGTGGATCTGTAAGCAAGGTAGAACTCTCTGCTTTACCGTATGCTTAAGACAGCCAATACTGTGAAAAGTAGCACAGCGGACAGCGAGCACACGCCTCAC